CGGAACCGGGCTTCATAGGGTGGATACGATTAGAGGGAAGACACTTGGATTCCTAAAGCGAGTAACCTCAAGCCGTTGAAGTTACAACCGGGAACCGATTCCCACAATCCACATCTTTGTTGAAGGAGTTCAAGACACTCGGTAAATATTTCGTATTAGTATTTACTTTATTATAACAAATCAAAATTTGTATGTGATGCATGTTTTAAAGATGACGATCAGTTAATTCGCAATTAGTATGTACGGGTGTTGTATTTATTTGATAAATACTTACTTTGAAAAATTTTAAATTCCGCTGCTTAAAGCCCGTACGGTACTATCGAACCCAACATGTGGAACATGTAGCCTTCGATGTGAGCTGTACCGACCGTCGAACGGTTATCCCCGTATCTATAGAACGTACCCGTTGGGTAGTCTCCTTATTATTGTGATCCGTAAGTCCTGGGTTAAAGGTCCCTGTGCTGGACAACCCCGTTGGTAAGACCAAGGTGAGGCCTTGGCTGGCGGGATACTCCTACTGGCCGGACACTCGTTGTAAGGCCTTAGTTAAGGCGTTCGGTATATAGTTCGGCAGTAGTCTATTGCTATAGGTGTGCACATGAGTCTATTATTGATATGATTGATAGGAGATTGGGATAATTAATTGATTCGTATACATGCTGAGACCATACCTTATTGATTATTGATTAATGTTTCATTATTGTGAATAATGTTTACTGCAAAGTGGTGAGCACTACTTTTTCCAACTGTGCTCATCCCCACCTGAAATTCACGTTTCAGGTTAAGCGAGGCAGGTACGACGGCGGAGTAGAGCGAGTGGTGGTCGGTCTATGAGACCGATTATTAATTGATTTTGCTTCCGCTATATTTATGACTATTTATGGTTTATGCATTTTCGAACTATTTATGGAGTATTGAGATACTATTGGGGAGATGTCCCGTTGACATTGTCATGTCTTTAAACTTGAGATTTATTTTTGGAACCCGTTTTGTGCGAATTGAAGATTTATGGATTTATGAACCCCGTTTTGGGAGTTAGATGATTTATGTTATGGTAATGATTCGAAATAAATGAGTAACGCCACAAATGCTTGTAATAAATTTTGAAAAATCTATTCTGATTTTCGGCAAATAAAAGTGGGGCGTTACAGTTTGGTATCAGAGCCAGTCTGCGTTTCTGTAGACTCGTTAATGTGAATTATGTGATTACATGCTTTGACCTCATATTTTGACCACTCGCTCTCGTCGTGCCGCGCCAGCTTAGGTATGAGTACCTGAATGATTTAAGATTATTGTGCATTGATTGGGTATTGATTACTGAAATGAAACCGGGGCTTAGGAATTTATCCTCCTACTTTTAAACGTTCTTGAACTCTAGATGAGTGGCGAACCTTAGTTGTATGAATTTCAACTCTAGCGATATAGAGTTAAGTTCTAACTTGAGGTTTTGTTTGTTTAGAAATTTGATATGGTGTTATGGAGCTAAGTTCTGTGTATAACAGTCCTCTCGATGTGTTTTGGTGTCTTCGTAAGAGGACCATTCGCGAGCCATCTCGAAAGGAGAAGGCTTAAACGAAGGGAGCAGACAACCGAAGAAGTCTCAAGTGTGGGATATCCGGAGGTCTGTAACCATGGTTATTAAGACCATCAGATGTGTATATGCCTATGTTAATTTTGTATTCATGAGTTTGAAATTGATTTAAATATATGTTGTGCATATGTAGACGATCTCTTCGATTTTGAGAAATCGAACGAGACCTCATTGATTCGTGATATAGTCGCTGTGGATTGGGACGTTGTATCGTCCTTAGTCTTATGGCAAAGACTTCGGACGAATTCGTCATAAATCGAGTCGTAGATAAATTGTTGAACTTTAATAACCACTGTTTTAGTGATGGAATTATTGAAAATTATGTGTTGCTCTGTTTGCCTTGAAATTTTGAGGGTCTTTTTTTCTGTTGAACATCTGACATGTGTAAATATTTCGTAATTTTCAAGGCTGGTAGCTATTTTAAATAATTAAAATGATTTTTAGTCAGTTTCATGTGAATTGCATAATAAATTGTGTAGTGATTGAAATTTGCTGAAAATTTAGTATGTTATGCCTCTGTTATGATTACATGTTGTGTAAAATTTTTAGAATTTTCTGACTAAGTTTGTTAGGGTAAATAATTTATTCTCTGATTCAGCAGAAAGTTGTTTTATTTATCATAAATCGGTTAGTCATTGAAAAATTCTGAAACTTGGCTGAAGAACTTGTATTATGTGTGTTTTCATGCTGTTAAAAGATGAAAATATTTGGAGTTCAATTTGGTTTGGTTTTAACTGAATTTTGATAACTACTGAAACTTGTAGGAATGTTTAAAATTTGTACAGTTAATGTTCAGGGCTGAAATTTGGACATGTTACCGCACTCATGTTGTAGTCTGTGGTACAAAAATTCCATAGGTTAATTCATTCATTTAATCTGGTTGCTAAATTATGTTCATTTTTGCAATAATCTTGCTCGAATTTTATAAAATAGCACAGTTTGAGTTTGGGGCTGAAAATTTGTGGTATTGCTTAATTTTGAGAGGTGAAATTTTGGTAAAAAATTTCAAAGGTAAATTCGTATGATAACCTGACCAACCTAATTTTGTGATTAAAATCTGGTGTTTTTTAAAATATGGCTTTTGCAATAAAAACTGTGAATCGACTCGTTTTCTGATTCTTTAAGTGTTTGACTTGGTCAATGTTTGTTTTGGATTATGTGAATTCCCATGTGTATTTGGTTGCGTCTTAGTGTCGAGTCTAAGTGTTCCAACGTCTACAGGACTTCACAAACAACTTAGTCGAATTAAGTTCGGCTGAGTATAATTGTGAATTCCATTTAAGTCTAAGTAGATGTTAATTATAGCATCTGGACTTAATGAAGGTGCTTGATGAGCCGAGCTCACCGCCTATAAGTGCTTTTGTGTTATCTCCTGCTGTTATCGAGATGGAGTGCTTATCCTCCTTAAAGAATTATGTAGAAATCTTTTAAGGAGGATAGACGAGTCAGAAACAAACACATCGCGTGGTGCGGATCCGTCCTTATTCTAAATTTTGTTTATCATAAATTTTTGTTCTTTTCCACCTTTCGGAATCCCGGGAGGAACTTCGCGTTCAAAATTCCAAAGCGTTAAGATTGGGAAGTGAGTTGCGCTCGTATAGGACTGCTGACACGATTAGCTAACCGAGGAAGTGGACTTGGAACTCGAACTTATACCTCTCAAATTTCGGAAACCCTTGAACTTTGAAATTGTGGAATACCTGAAATATATGTTGTTTTGTTGACCCCCAAAATTTTTGAAATTTGGTAAAACCATTCCTTTTTGGTAGCCTTGAACAGTAACTCCTTGTGAAAACCTGGACCAAACGCCGACCCTGACTGGGTGTAGCCACGCGAAGTGGTGGCCGAGCATGCACGAACGTGCTGAGAGATGGGAGGCTTGCGCGCGGCCGACCGTTGACTCGCATGCGAAATGCAGCCGCCTCGACCTTACAGCTGGTCTCCAAGTAGGTGGGTACGCACGCGTCCCAGAGCCCTGCTTATGCAGTGCCAGCGAGCGTGCCGCCTCTTGGGCGACAGTACACTAACCCCGAACCTTCGATTCATTTCGTTGATCGACCAGTTTTCCTGAGCTATTTATGTTACCCCGAACCTTGAACCGAGAGCCCCAAGTTCCACTAAAATGTGTATAAATCCTTAATAGATGATTTCAGAATAAGGAGTGTAGTCGATGAGTCCCTATGCTTCACTTGAGAGTTTCTCGAGTCGGCAAATTGGGAATGTCGTGTTGCTTTTGGTCAAGCCTTATGATTGTGCATAAGGGTTACGTTCAACTCGTGGAGTCGATATCACAAGGATATGAGCATGATGGTGTCGTGTTGTGTGTATGTGGTACCGTGTCGTTGTCTCTGATAGAGACACACGACCGTGATGAAATCGTGAGCAAGTTGTCAGTGTGACTCGGATACGAGACTGAAACTTGGCGTCACGTGTCCACCTTGATGGTGAGGTAGTCGGACTACGCTGACAATACACCAACGACCTGTCGAGGTCTTGTGTGTTGTTAGGTACAATGCAAGTCGTTGATACTCATGAGTATAGGCTAAACCGAGCTGGGTCCCTTGCAAGAAGATGTACGCCTGAGCTCGGGCAGGACTGATCACCCTCCCAAGCAAGAAGGTAAACATATGAGCATAGGGCAAGTCGGATTGGTTCATGTATGTAAGTACATGCCTTTCGAGTAGAAGGCGATAGGACTCATGGGAACGGAATCGAGTTCCGGAGAATGATGTCGGACCACGTGATTGGGAATTCCTGTGCGAATCCATCGTTCCCTTTTAATATGTGTTCTTTCACATTTCCGAGGACGGAAATGTTTTAAGGAGGATAGATTGTAATGCCCCGTTTGGCTATGGAAATTTTTAGGATTATTTATTATTATTATTATTATTATTATTATTATTATTATTATTATTATTATTATTATTATTATTATTATTCGTTGTTCTTATTATTTGTTTCAATGCTACAAATTGCTTAATTGTCTAAATATTAATTAAATGCCTAATTGGCTAAGTGTTATTATTTAATTATATGTGTGTATTTGTATTAGTGTTAATATTATTATTTTATATTTTATTTGTAAGTATTATATATAATATATAATATCCGATTTATTTATTTCATCGTACGATTTAATTTTCGAGCCTCTTTGCATTTTATTTAATCGGCCCAAAGTTGGAGTTTCTCAGCCCATTTGAGGAATGATTTTAGTCCAAGTTGAGTGGAACTAGGCCAAATTGAGTTATTTACTTTGGTCCAATGTTGTAAGGTGATCTTGGCCCAATTTCCCTTTATCCTCGTGCAAATTGATCTATTCTTCACCAAATTCCCCAAATCTCTCAACCATTATCCTCGTGTCTCCTTAAAATCGCGACTGAGAAGGAAACTTCCTCTCCACAAAAAACCCTCATCCGATAATTCGCTGCAAAAGCATCGATCTCTTCTCCCTCGAACTTGAGAGCAGATCGAAAATCCTTTTTTTACCTTCACCCCCGCTGTAAGGGCAGCCCATCGCGAGCAAGCCATCAGCGGCGTTTTCCCCTGCAGCCGTCGAGTCCTTTGCGGCAGACCACCGGCGACGCGAGGTCGGCGAATTGTACTGTCTAGCCCTTCAATTGTCTTCTCTGTCATCGCGGTTACGAGTTCCACGGCCGCCGACCGGCGACCTGCTATCCCTGTTCGACGACTCCTATTCACCATGTTCTGTTCATTCTCGACGGACCCGACCAGCAGGCCGAGCTCTATCCGCCTGCGTCCCCTGTAAGCAAGCAGCCGCGAAATTGTCCATCGAGCAGCCTCTCATCGCCGGTCTCCGTGTCTGCGAGCCCTCCTCGCCGCCAATCCCAGCCACCGTCGAGACGTTACCAGACGCCGTCGAGTGCCTCTGTTTCGCGAGCAACTCGCCGGTGTCCGAGCAACAGCCGCCCGAGGCTCTTATCGAGCAGTCGTCGGTCTCATTTCCGAACAGCAGCAGCCCCGATTGTGTTATATGATGAGCAGCGGGACTTTTCCAACGGAAGGCAGCCCTTTCGGGCCCCGGGCGAGAAGAGAAGCGGGTCGATCCTTTGCCACGAGCCCCGAATAGTCTGTTCTTCAACGTCCGGCAACAGCCCAAGAGCTTGAACAGTGGCAGTCGAGCTGCCTTTGAGGACGTATGGATGTCCGGACTACAGCGAACCGGGCCCGTTTTTCCCTGAAACGAGAGCCCATATCGTGTGGACGAGACCCGAATCTTTTTCCCCATTTTATTCTGGACGAAAGGTATATTGGTTGTACCTCTTAACCTCATTCTTGACTGAGATTATTGTGCTCTGTTTTGCTCATTTGAACCTAAGTTTTGATGTTCCTAGCATTCTGCTAGTGTGATTGAGGCTTCAGCAGTTAAGAAATTTTAGGCCATGCTAGACGAATTTCTTTTTAGATGACTAGCTGTTTGTGTTGAGTATGATTAGTATGAGTTTCTTCCTTTCTTTCTATGTTATCCGTGTACGGTTATATTTTGATACTGAACTTATGTGGTTTCTTTATGGAATTTTATTCAACTTCACCTCTTTATTCTAAATTAATAGAGAAAGGCGAGGTATTATGAGAGCTTGTTATACTTGGTGGAAATGAAGAATAAAATGAATGTGTATATGTGTTGGTTGTTGGCCGAATTGATATGCTGTGGTTACTGAGACTTGAGGTTTTACTTTTATTTTTATTTCTGGGCATGCTGAAATGAAGGGTATTCAAAGCATTTTGACCTCAGTTTATGTGACCTTGACTTAGGAGGTAACTTAGGAGGTAACTGCTTGATTGAAGGATGAAAAATGAGGCATGTAGGGGTATTATTTTGAGCATGCTGTTACCATTTGTTGCTAAGGTTATTATGTGTTCTTGGCTTGAGTTATGGCATGATTTTGCCGAGTTTCTGAAACATATTTGAACTGGTTCAAATGCTGAAAATAGCATATACTCAAATCTTTGCATTCAGTTTATATAGCCTTGTCATATGATATGTACAGGTTGAGAATAAAAGGTATCAAAGGCATGCTGGTTTTGTTGGTTAATTTTTGAGAAAAAGAAAATAAAGGAGGCTTGCTTGTGGTGTCACTGGGCGTGATTTGCTCCTATGATATGTTAAGATTTTGGCTTATTATGTTGTTGTTTGAACTGAACCTTTCCACCTTATGTTTGGCTGAAATTGTGAGCTTAAATTAGTTTTATAAAGAAGTTTAACGGCATGCTTAAGGTCTGGGTTATCTGGAAGACTAATTGAGATGCTTTATATGTTTGTATGTTTTGTATGTGCAAATCTGGTGCCACTGTCTTGCTAAGAATTTATTTTGTATTGGCTGAGTGTTTAGGGATATAAGCATGTTAAAGGTAGTGTTACCATAACTTTTTAAAATCAATTAATATGGCTTGGATTTTTGCTGTTGAATTATTTGAGAAAAGAGGAAGAAAGAAAACATGTTTATCTGTTGTAGTGGTGCTATTATTTTACTGTATTGGCTGTAGCTTATACTTGCTCTTCATATGATTAAGAAATTATGTCTAATTTCATGAGTTGAAATGCTTAATTTATAAGCCTTTTTATTTGTTCTATTTGCCCTTACCTGCCTTGATTTCTTGTTCGGGTGTTTTACTTGTTGTTGTTGTGTGGCTTAGTCAACCTCAATCAAAACCCTTAATAATAGTTAAATCCCTAATTTTTAGGTTCGAGGAGCCGAGCCCTCTGTCTACCTTTTGCTGATTATTGTATATTTGACTTCCTCGTCTACCAGGTGGGTTTAATGTAAATTTTTCTATGCTGTAAATGTTATTACTGTTTTAAATTTTTGGTATGATCAAGTATGCATGTGGAACATGTAGCCTTCGATGTGAGCTGTACCGGCCGTCGAACGGTTATCCCCGTATCTATAGGACTACCCAAAACGTACCCGTTGTGTAGTCTCCTTATTATTGTGAGCCGTAAGTCCTGGGTTAAAGGTCCCTGTGCTGGACACATTTTGAGCTGTAAGTCCTGGGTTAAAGGTCCCTGTGCTGGACACATTTTGAGCCGTAAGTCCGGGGTTAAAGGTCCCTGTGCTGGACACATTTTGAGCCGTAAGTCCTGGGTTAAAGGTCCTTGTGCTAGACAACCCCGTTGGTAAGACCAAGGTGAGGCCTTGGCTGGCGGGATACTCCTACTGGCCGGACACTTGTTGTAAGGCCTTAGATAAGGCGTTCGGTATATAGTTCGGCAGTAGTCTATTGCTATAGTTGTGCACATGAGTTTATTGTTGATATGATTGATAGGAGATTGGGATAATTAATTGATTCGTATACATGCTGTGACCATACCTTATTGATTATTGATTAATGTTTCATTATTGTGAATAATGTTTACTGCATAGTGGTGAGCACTACTTTTTCCAACTGTGCTCATCCCCACCTGAAATTCACGTTTTAGGTTAAGCGAGGCAGGTACGACGGCGGAGTAGAGCGAGTGGTGGTCGGTCTATGAGACCAATTATTAATTGACTTTGCTCCGCTATATTTATGACTATTTATGGTTTATGCATTTTCGAACTATTTATTGAGTATTGAGATACTATTGAGGAGATGCCCCATTGACATTGTCATGTCTTTAAACTTGAGATTTATTTTGGGAACCCGTTTTGGGCGAATTGAAGATTTATTGATTTATGAACCCCGTTTTGGGAATTAGATGATTTATGTTATGGTAATGATTCGAAATAAATGAGTAACGCCACAAATGCTTGTAATAAATTTTGAAAAATCTATTCTGATTTTCGGCAAATAAAAGTGGGGCGTTACAATCATCTCTCTCATACTTTTATATCAAATTAAGTTTAATTATTTTATTTTAATATTATTTTAATATACCCATTAACAACTAACCATACCACATTTTTCAAAATTAACCAAACCAAACCAAAAAATCCAAACAAATCCAAAAATTTTTATATCCAAGCATCTTCTTAATGTCCGACACCGAGGAGTAGCGGGGAAACTTAATGCGTAACACTGTCGCGACTCTCGAGAGTGGCCAGGCCTCGAGAAAGACGATAGTGACCTATTCTTTTGCGAAATACTCTCAGCGAAGGAATCCGACCTTGTTCTTAAGGCAGATAGACCGATCCGGCACCGCGTGTATATTTTATTCCGCAATTTTGAGTGACATTCCTGTCTTGAAGGAGACGTCAAAAATTCTTTTTCCATATTTTGCACCGTGAGCAATTTCCTAGCGACAGCGGGACTTACCAGGAACAGCTTGAACCGATGATGAAAACAGTGAATCGTGGACTCGTGAAGGCGAAGCAGACGTGCTTCCTTTCTTAAATTCTTTTCTTCCTATATACTCTTGCAAACCTCTTTTTCATTCGCATGGCAAACAATTTTGAAGTGTGAGGGAGGCTTCTTTTTATTATCCAATTTTCGTATTTTGAGGATTTCGCTTGATCTTCCCCTACTTTTGATTCGCTGTGTAAACTATTTTAACCTTCCCAACTTTAAAATTCATTTCTATTGTCGTTTCGCTAATTCTGGTTTATCTTGTGTTGGGAACTGACTTTGTTTTGGAAAAACCTGATTTCAAGTGAGATTAAGCATCTCTTTGTTTTTGCTTATCTTTATTCTCTTGCGAAGTATGAGAGTTTGTTCGAATGTCATCGCTAAAATATCACGAAGACTCGAGGGCAAAATTTTTCTATCGCCACTTTTGTGAATAACCTAACCTCGAGGGGGACAATAATTACTCACGCTCGGCGTCGAGATAAACGCACAGGAACTGAAGCCAGCACAATTCGATTCGATAAGAAGATGGAGTGTTTTTCCACCTTAAAAGATTATGTATAAGCCTTTTAAGGAGGATAGGCGAGCCAGAAGCAAGCACATCGCGTAGTGCAGACCCGTCCTTATTCTAAATTTTGTTCATCGTAAATTATTTTTTTTTTTTTGTTCTTTTCCTCCTTTTGTAATCTCGGGAGGAACTTCGCGTTCAAATTCCAAAGGGTGAAGATTGGGAAGTGAGTTGCGCTCATTTAGGACTGTGTTGACACGATTAGCTACCCGATGAAGAGTTGACGTGTCGGCTGACGGTGTTAGTTGGAAGAGCCGAGGCGAGCTATCTGTTTAATGGCTCGGCAGAAGCCGCTGAGAGAATCGCCATGAGAGTTCTTTTGAGATTTCGCATATCGTTATATCTGTGGTGTATTGCGTTTTGTTGTTTTAGAAAAGTTGGTGGACTTGGAACTTGAACTTGCACCTTGCTATTTTTTTTTAGACTTTTTGAAACTTTGAAGTTTGTGAAACGCCTGATACATAAATTGTTTTGTTGATCCCAAAATTTTTGAAATTTGGTAAAACCACCCCTTTTTGGATTGTCTTGGACTGTAAATTTCTTGTGGAACCTTGGACCGAAAGCCGACCCTAACGCGAAGTGGTGGCTGAGCAGGCACGCCCGTGCTGAGAGACGCGAGGCCAACCATGGGGCCGACCGTTGACTCGCACGAGAGCTGCAGCCGTCATCACCGTACGCACGAACTCCCGAGCCAGCGGATGTGGCCGAACCTCGACCTTTACAGCTGGTCTCTGAGTAGGAGGGTACGCACGCGTCCCAGTGCCTCGCTTATGCAGCGCCAGCGAGCGTGCCGCCTCTTGAGTGACAGTACACTAACCCCAAACCTCTGATTTATTTCGTTGATCGACCAGTTTTTGCTGAGCTATTTATATTACCTCGAACCTTGAACCGAGAACTCCAAGTTCCACTAAAATGTGTATAAATCCTTAATCGATGATTTCTGATTAAGGATTGTAGTCGATGAGTCCCTATGCTTTACTTGGGAGTTTCTCGAGTCGACAAATTGGGAATGTCGTGTTGCTTTGGGTCAAGCCTTATGTTTGTGCATAAGGGTTGCGTTCGACTCGTGGAGTCGATATCATGAGAGTATGAGCATGATGGTTTTGTGTTGTATGTAGGTGGTACCGTGTTGTGGTCTCGAATGGAGACGCACGGCCTGTGATGAAATCGTGAGCAAGTTAGCAGTATGACTCGAATGCGAGACTGAAACTTGGCGTCACGTGTCCACCTTCATGGTGAGGTAGTCAGAGTACGCTGACAATACACCGAACGACCTGTTGAGGTCTTGTGTGCTGTTAGGTGCGAAGCAAGTCGTTGATACTCATGAGTATAGGCTAAACCGAACTGAAATGATTTCTGGTCAGTTTCATGTTAGTTGCATAATAAATTGAGTAGTGCTCCAAATTTTCTGAAATTCAAATATGTTGTTCTTCTGTCTGTTTTAGAGGTCTTGCTAAATTTTCATAATTTTTGGACTCTGATAGCTTAGGTAAATAAATTATTTTGTGTTTCTGCCAGAAATTTGTTTTAGTTGTAAAAAAAATGATCTGTTGCTGGAAAATTATGCTTTTTGGTTGAAGTGCATGTTCTGTGGTGTATTTCATGTTGTTAAATATTAGAATTTTTGGAGTTCATTTAGGTTTACTTATGTTGAAAATTTAAAATCTACTGAATGTTATATCAATTTTAGGGGTTTGTATTCAATTGAGATTCTTAAGGACTTTTTAAAACTTCTTAAATTTGGTGACTTTTGTGGACTTTGTAAAACTTTCATGACTTTGGTGGACTTGTTGAGACTTTCAGAGAATTCTCATTAGTGACTTTTTAAGACTTTCATATTGGACTTTTTAAAACTTATTGAGACTTTTATATACTTGTAATTATAATATTATGTTAGAATGAAAAATTAATAAACGTAACATAATAACTAATATAAAGAAGAATAAATCAAAAAAAAAATATATATATTAATCCTCTAAAAATTTATGAATCAACTCATTGTTATGCGAAATGAGTTATTCAGTAACATATTATTTAGGATTTTAGATTTATTAAACAATCAAATTAATCCAAGCTTCAATGAGTCGAACTTTGGAAGATACAAACGTTGTTGAAAAATAGTAATTGTATTTTATAAAGTTATCAATAATATTAAAAATAATTCAATATCAACAAATAAACTATTAGAAAATAAAATAATTTTATTAATATTAAAAAATAAACATTGATAAATAAAAAGAGAGGATAAATAAATTATTTGCAAGTGCAAACTATGGAAGCATTTAACCTTTGAAAAATCAAATTCACAAGATAACAAAATGAAAGATTAAAGGTATACATACATAAAATAACCATAATAAAAAAATATATAAAATAAAGATTACGTTAAATATACATAATGACATATAAATTATACAAGTTATCAAAATAAAAGATAAAATAATAAAGCATAAAAGTGATGAGATACAAAGTCGTGTTAGAAAGAAAAAAGAAAGAAAGCGTGAAGAGAATCACATAAGTCCAGCAAAATCTCACCAATATTGATGAGATTTCTGTTGAGACTTTCTCTTTGTAATTTTGTTATAAAAGTCTCTAAAAATCTCACAATTTAAAAAGTCTCACAAAGTCTTCATATTTTGAATACAGGGTGACTTATAAAGACTCTCAGAAAGTTTTAATTGAATACCCTGAGACTTTTAAGGACTTTTTAAAAGTCTTTAAAAGTCTCAATTAAATACATGTAAACTTTTCAGAAATCTCTAAAAGTTTTGATTGAATACACCAGAATTTGGAAGTGTTAAAAAGTCTCTAAAAATTGAAATTGAATACACCCCCCTTAATAAATCGCATATTTGGAGTTTAGAGCTGAGATTTTTACACACTGCTAGTCACCTGCTGAGGTTCTTAGGATACAAATTTCATAGGCTAATTCATTCATTTGATCTGGTTGCTAATATATGCTCGTTTTTGCCATAAACTTGCTCGAATTTTATAAAATATCACACTCAGAGTTTGGGGCTGGAAATTTGTGGTATTGCTAAATTCTGGGAGGTGAGATTTTGGTTAAAATTTCAGAGTTAAACTCATTCGATAACCTGACAAACCTATTTTTATGATTAAAAACGAATATTTTCAAATATATGGTTTTTATATTAAAAACTGTAAATTGACTCGTCTTCCATTCTTTTAAGTGTTTGACTGGTCAATCTTTATCTTGGATTATGTGAACTCCCATGTGTATTTGGTTGAGTCTTAGTGTCGAGTCTAAGTGTTCCAACGTCCACAGGACTTCACGAACAACTTAGTCGAATCAAGTTCGGCTAAGAATAATTGTGATTTCTGTTTAAGTCAGAATAGATGTTGATTATAACATTTGGACTTAATGTAGGTATTTGAGGAGTTGAGCCCTCGACCTACCGACCTGTTTGTGTGACTTCTCTACCGATTTACCAGGTGGATTTTATTGAAATTGCTATGCCTTAATTAATTGTTATTGTTGTGGTATGATCAAAGTATGTGTGTGAACCATGTAGCCTTTGATGTGAGATATATTGGCCGTCGGACGGTTATCCCCGTAGCTATAGAACGTACCCAATGGGTAGTCTCTTTTATTTATGTATGGTAGTCAGGGCGTGAGCCTTGGCTGGTGATCCTCGATGTAAGTCCGAAGGCTAGGTTCCGGGAATTCGGGGTGTATTTACTCCTACTGGCTGGGCATCGATTGTAAGACCCGAGGGGCATTCGATACGTGTATCAACAGTGGTCTATTGATATAGGTGTGCACATGAGGGTTGACTCTGGGATAGGAGATGGGATATTAATTGATTTGTGTTCATATTGCGACCATACCTGCTTTATTTTATGAATTTTGAATATTAATTATTGCATAGCGGTGAGCACCTCGATTTTCCTATTGTGCTCACCCCCACCTGCTCTTCATGGATGCAGGTTAGTAATTGCGGGCACGACAGAGGGAGGCGAGTGGTGGTCATGTTATTGAGTACTTCCGCTGTTTAAACTGCTTAGTATCATTTATGTATTTCTAATTTACGTTGGGTACCAGATTATTGATAGGGAGTGTACTCCCTAGTATTTATGAATTTGACAAACTCAGTTTTCGGAGTTGATGTTATTTATGAACTCGGTTTGGGTGTTGGCATGATTATTGAACCCGTTTGGGAGTTGCATTTATGATATTGTCGAAATTGTTTTGGGAAATGAGTAGCGCCTCAAGTGTTCTGGAATAAATTCTGAAAAATTTATTCTGTATTTCGGCAAATAAAAGTGGGGCGTCACAGTGGTAGCGTTTAAATTTTTAAATTGTTGAAGTGGCGGTGGGAATATAAAGATGGCTAACAAATGGAAAAATAAACTAGTTGGTCGAAGAGGATAATGGGTGTGGCGGCAGACGAAAAAGACGAAAATCAGGATAATGGGTGGCAGCAGACAGAAAACACGAAAATCTACTCTTAGATCGAGTCATTTAGACTCGACCAGAGTGCGGTGGATTAGATGATATAGGATATTATACCTTAGACCGATCAAGTTGGTCAGTGGAATAATCGGAGGAGTTGATATGGTCGAACAGAGCCTACGTTGGTCGGTGCTAGACTAAGGCCACGGCAACAAGAATCTCGGGAGATCAGGTCGGTCCCAGCTTTGCAGAAGACCTGGTCAAGGGACTAAGGGGTCGAGTAAATGGTCGTGTGATCGACCACCTCATACGCCAGGAGCGACTTAATATCTTATCCAGATCTGGTCGAACATAAGAGCCTCTAAGACCATGTTTGATAAACAAGATGAGATTAGACAATAATAATCTTAAAGGCCATGATTACACTGTTAGGATGTTTTTAATCTCCAGTTTCGTGTCCATGATTGCGTGAAACTGACTGGTCGGATAAAGTTCCCATTTATGTTTGAGGCGCGTGATAATTGTCAGGATAAAAACCAAATTACTGATTTACCCTTATATTATATTATCTAATTATTTGTGAAACATTCCCAAAAAATGTAGGACCCAAAAACAACATCCATTGTTGTGTTTTTCTCCACCAAAATTTACCCTAATCAGTCGCCGGTTGCAGGGACGAAATATTACCGTCGGGCATTAAAGAAATTGATGAATCCTGTCGCGGTAATGCCTTGGTGTGTCTTGCATCTGGAAACTTCGGCCATTATTCCGGTGAGCCATCGTTACGGTTTTGTTGTGTCCAATCAACAGTGGGAATATATTCGCACCCATGTGCTTGTGTTCAACAAATGTATCATCATATTCTCTGTTATGAAGTTTTCAATCTACTGTGTTGTTGTCAATTTCCTAAAGATTCGATAATGAATTAGGATCCAATTTGGCAGATACATTGACAAAACAAATGGTGTATTGAATCTCCTTTTCAGCTTTCCCAGGTATTGACAAGTCATAATATAGTGGGTTGTGTTTATTTTTTGTACAAGTAGCCTCCTCTTTGTTCTCCTGTTCTCCTGTCTATATAAAGACACTCAAACGGGCATTTTTTTCATATACACAAGTGGCGTCCATAAAATAGGATATTGTTAACAGTTCCTCGATTCTCACTGAATACCACTGTAATGCCACGTTTGGGAATGGATACCACATAGGAGAAGGTTCTTTACGATGCTTGGTGGACGAAAGATGTGGACAACCTCTTCATAGACCTCCTCGCCGAGGCACATGTTGGTGGTGAATGGACACAAGGTAGGCCAGGCACTCATGTCTTCCTTTACTGCCGTGGTGTTTTGGTTGCAGATGATGGTGCAACCTTTACTGTGAATGAACTACAGGAACGGTTCGATTTCCTTCATAAATGGTTTCGCGTTTTTAGTTGGATGTTACGAAAACATGGGCTACACCACTGTATCCAGTCGAACGTCCTCACGGCTCCGGTAGCAGTGTGGAATGATATCTTCGAGGTATTCTCTTACCATTTATCATAGCACTGACGTTACTCCTATGTGTTTGAGTTTTGAAACTTTACACTTGTACTTAATTCTCAGATGGGTCTTAATTTCTGTTGCTAAATGATGAATGGAAATTAAGATGTCCTCTTATGTTTTTTTGGTTTTAAACACTTCTCTGATTGCCAATATTTATGAAAATTTGATGCGAACGCATGTATTTTCTCTGCTTGCCAATTCAGGCCGTATTTTGTGTTGTGTTCCATTACCAACAAAATTGGCATTTCTTTGGACAATGTTTCTTGTGAATGTTAGGAGTTGATGTTGGCATTACTTATTCTTTTCTGACAGTGCATAACATTTTTTTATGCAGTCTCAGACCCATTCTCAGTGGCATACCAACATTCGAGGGACCCGCATTGGGCGGACATACGATACTTGTTCACAGAGGTCTATGAAGCCACATCCAATTCACCGAATGTGGTGGACCAAAATTCCACCAACGAAAATCATTTAGCGAGGTTGACCGAACAGTCCTACGTCTTCTCACTTTCTTCTCTCACCAATGCACCATTGCATGGTTCAATCGGAAACGAAGGTATTCAGCCAAGAAATGGCCGAGACCATGACGCTTCATCGGAAGGTTCCGTCAATACACATACATGAGGATTCCCAGGCGGGGTGGTGGGACACCATGGCGCATTCCCCAACCACCACGAAAGCCGGCACCATCGTCATGCAAAGGGTCTTCAAGTGACCCACCAAACTGAATTGTTTTCATTTTGTTTAATGACCGTACTACGCTTACCTTACCTTATTTCGTTTATTTTGCTCTTACTGAGTAAAATTATTATTGGCATTAAGTAATGTTATGTTGTTTGTTCCCTGTGGTTGTATTAATGAAATCATGCATCTTAAATTAAACTTACTTTTAGCTTCAGATGTGTTATATATATGTGTTTACAAACTATACATGCGCGTATGTCAGTGGTACATTACTTTTTTCTATTGGATATTGGACGTGGTATAGTATTGTTCATAGACTCGAGTGTGAAAACCTTATTTCTTCCACAATATACAAGTACTTCAAAAAAGGTTCTACAAAATATGAACTTTGGTTGTCATGATGGATCGATTTTTATGGAACTAACCAGTCATCATATTATCTGTTAATGTCATGGCGTCATGTGTTTAATGTTATTATTAGGTATTTATATTGTGGAGTACAATGCTTCAATATGTACGTGTGTGAACAAGAATTCATTGTGTATGAACTAAAGTCTCCACCCAAGTAGTACAAATATTGACATTAAACATTCAAAACAAGGCACCCAATACCCAATCCCCCATTACATGTGGCGCTTCGATTTCAATAGGCACCTTAAAGACCAAAAAATTGGGAGATTGGTAAACAAAAATAACCAAGCCATAGCCAGCTTATATATTTTAAATACGCACAGTACTTTCATATGCAAAATACATACTTAATAAGGTTAAAAATCATAATCATATGGTCGGGACCGAAATACCAAAAAGAGTTGTAAGGCCGTCCCGAACAGTTTTTGTCTTCACACGGAGTCGACGCAGGAGTCCACATCAGACTCCTCATCCATCAAATCCTCATTGCCGTCAACGTTGAACAGGGGATCCATAGGAAGTGGCAGATCATGGATTGGGCTTCCAACATGCTGATCAACCTCATCATAGTCATCAAGTTCATCCTCCATTCAATCTTCCGACGAGACCACGTATGTGATAGTTGTTGGGTTCGCCTGTACCGTACGAGCTATACGCAGCGGAATTTAAAATTTTTCAAAACAAGTACTTAACATTTAAATACTTTACTCGTACATACAAATGGCGAATTAACAGATCTTCATCTTTAATAACATGTAATAATACATATTTTGATTTGTTGTGACTAAATTCTAAATTTACCTTAGTCTTGAACTCCTTCAAAATTGTCGATGAATGAGGGAATCGATTCCCGGTTTGTAACAACAACACCTTTTGGTTACTCGCTCAGGAATCCAAGTGTCTTCCCTCTAAACGTATCCACCTTTTGAAGTCCGGTTCCGAACTAGTTCCTTCGCTAATAGAAACTAATCGGTTTTATTCAATTAGTTTAGAATATATATTTTTAAGGAAATTTTACAAGAACTTTTCTTGTTTTGTAATATGAAGAACACTTCTTCTTTTCTCTCTTTTTCAACTCTTGAAAACTTTGCAAGACTTAGCTTAAAATTGAACATCAAGTATGTCCATATTTATACTAAACATTTTGGTATAAAATAATAATATTGGGTAGAATATTTTCATAAAATATGAAAAGTCTTCAAGAATATTTTCATAAAATATTAAGTCTTGAACAAGACTATTCCCCACCCAATATTCAATTAATAAGAATAAGATTAATTATGTTAAGTAGTTAGCATCTCATAACCACCATAATTAATTTATTCTTATTAATATTTAATCTTTAATCATATTAAGGATATATATAATAAAATAATAATTCTTGAAAGCATCTTTCAAGACTTTATTATTTTAATCTTTTATTCCATTTCCTCATTTAATAATCATATTATTATTTGGATTTGAAATTTAAAATCTAATTTTAAATTCCAAATATTAATTAGTAATTCCATTAATTACTAAATTAATATCCAAAATTCAATTAATCAATCCAATTGATAAATTTAATATATTCCTTTAATTGACATCTATTCAAATTAGATTTGTCAATTAATTCTAACTCTTTAGAATTACTATTTGAATTTCACCTTCATTCAAAAATTGGTGTGACCTTTTAGGTTCACAATTAATACTAGTAGTGGGTTTACAACTCTTTGTAATTTGAGTTAATCTTATTAACTCTTATTCATGAATTAACTCCTTAATTCAAGAACCCACATATCATGGGAACATCTAGCAAGTAGCATGAATCTAGTATTAAGTGAATAGCGAGTAAACCTATTTCAATTACAAGTCCATACATGTAAAATCCTTTCGACATCTAATTTCCCGATTAAATCTTGGGTATGATTTTAGTCGAAACCCAAATTGATTTAATAACTATGATTCTATTTCATGTTTAGTAATTCATGTGTGAATCTCTATTCATCCTGCCTTGGCCAAGGACTTTGAATTACTAACTATGAAATACATAGGAAATTCTCGTATCTTCATACGTGTCGAATCCTTTGTTGGCCACTAACAAACTTCCATACATATTAACATAATACCCAAAATATCCCTTTATACGATTGTGCTAGCAACCAAAAGGATAAATCAAAGTAGAACGTAATATGCACAAAGTTACCATTGTGCCTCAAGTCTAAGGATTAGTCATGTACTATTGTAACATGAAAATTCTTATTCGACAGAATAATTAACTAAAATAATTCTTCATTAAGAATTTTCATACGGTCATGTTCAGTGAACTTGTTCTCTAACAAGCACCCACATATATGTACTTGCGTCCCACGCTAATGTTGATGGAATGCAACATTCTTGTCAAACAAGCATACATACTATGTACAAGTCTTTTATGGATTATTCGATATCCCTTTTCGAAACATCCATCGACTTGGAACTTTATTTAAGACCACAGCTTTCAAGGTATGTTCCATGATCACCATCTCTATGCGCAACCATACCTTATAGCTATATGTGATCTAGGGATTTTATCTTAAGTGCAAATATAGGATAAATGCTTACTCTTAAGATAAAGTAATGCCTTTCAATTAATATAATTCCAATAGATTGTATTTACAAGTAGAATACGTCCAATCTGATTGGAACGCCGGGTATCCTACTCTAACAATCTCCCACTTACCCTAGTTCCAATCACACATGTATCCTAGACCCATCTTCTCAAGATGTCCTTCGAACACTTTCTGTGGTAAAGGCTTAGTTAAGGGGTCTGCTATATTTTCTGCTGAGTCGACTCACTCCATTACGACGTCGCCTCTACCAATGATTTCTCTAATCAAATGGTATCGTCTCATAATGTGTTTGGATCTTTGATGAGATCTTGGCTCCTTTGCTTGCGCAATAGCCCCATTGTTATCACAATAAATCGTTATTGGATCAACAACGGATGGTACTACACCCAACCCTTGGATGAAGTTCCTTATCCAAACAGCTTCTTTTGCAGCATCAGATGCAGCAATATACTCAGCCTCTGTGGTAGAGTCAGCAATTGTTTCTTGTTTGGAACTTTTCCAACTAACTGCTGCTCCATTCAGAGTAAATAAGTATCCAGACATGGATTTATAGTCGTCTTTATCGGACTGAAAACCAGAATCAGTAAAGCCTTCTAGTTTCAGTTCTCCATTGCCGTATACCATAAAAATCTTTAGTCCTTCGTAAATACGTAAGAATCGTCTTAACGGCTTTCCAGTGTTCATCACCTGGATTAGGCTGATATCTGCTCGTTACACTTAGTGCATGAGCAACATCCGGTCTTGTACATAACATCGCATACATAATGCTATCAATAGCTGATGCATAAGGTATATGACTCATCCGTTCTCTTTCTTCAGGTGTCTTTGGAGACATCGTCTTAGAAAGTGAAACCCCATGACTCATTGAAATATATCCTCGTTTGGATTCTTCCATGCTAAACCGTTTTAGCACCTTATTTATGTACGTTGACTGGGATAGTCCGATCATCATTTTAAATCTATATCTATAGATTTTTATCCCTAGGATAAAAGATGCTTCTCCCAAGTCTTTCATGGAAAACTGTTTTGAAAACCATGTCCTAGTTAACTGCATCATCCCTACATCATTCCCAATGAGTAGGATGTCATCAACATATAGAACAACAAATGCAACTGCATTCCCACTCACCTTCTTATAAACACATGGTTCATCCGGATTCTTATGAAAATCAAACGTTTTGATCGTTTCATCAAACCGGATGTTCCAACTCCTTGAAGCTTGTTTAAGTCCATAAATAGACCTTTGGAGCTTACAAACCATTTGTTCACTCCCACTGGATATGAAACCCTGCGGTTGTTTCATATAAATGTCTTCCTTAATGTTTCCATTAAGAAAAGCAGCTTTCACATCCATTTGCCATATCTCGTAGTCATAATACACAGCTATGGCTAGCAATATCCGAATAGATTTAAGCATTGCTACTGGTGAAAAAGTTTCCTCATAATCAACTCCTTGTTTTTTAGTATAACCTTTAGCAACCAGTCTTGCTTTAAAAGTATTTACTTCTCCATCTACACCACGTTTTCGTTTGTAAACCCATTTACAACCGATGGGTACTATACCCTGTGGTGGATCAACCAAGGTACCTTGTTTGAATACATGGAGTCTATCTCGGATTGCATAGCTTCTTGCCATTTATCTGAGTCAATGTCCAACATTGCCTCATCATAGCTAATTGGATCATTATCCAAAAGGAGTCCCTCTTCATTGTTCTCTAACAATAGGTACAGCTTCTCAGGCGCCCTAGAAACCCTTTCAGATCTCCGAAGAGGTTGTGCTTCAGATGATCCAGTCTCTACTGGTATGTTATTTGTTGTACTTAGTGGAATTTTTTGTGGTTCTTCATTAAGTTCTATGACTCCACTATTTTCTAAGAGAAACTCTTTCTCCAAAAATACAGCATTCCTCGAAACAAACACTTTTTGTTCAGAGGGGTCATAGAAATAGTATCCAATAGACTCCTTTGGATACCCCACAAATTTACATAAGATGGATCTCATATCCAACTTATCTCCCACTTGCTGCTTCACGTAAGCAGCACAACCCCATACTTTCATATATTTGTATGAAGGTGTTTTTCTACACCACATCTCGTAAGGTGTGCTGGGTACAGCTTTACTCGGCACTCTATTCAAAATAAGTGCAGCTGTTTCTAAGGCATAGCCCCAGAATGAAAGAGGTAAACCAGTGAAACTCATCATCGATCGAACCATGTCTAACAAAGTTCGATTTCTCCTTTCTGAAACCCCATTGAGTTGTGGAGTTCCAGGAGGTGTCCACTGTGAAATAATCCCATTATTTCATAAATAATCAAGAAACTCATTGGTCAAATATTCACCTCCTCGATCCGATCGAAGAACTTTAATACTACGACCAATTTGTTTCTCCACTTCACTTCTGAATTCTTTGAACTTTTCAAATACTTCAGATTTATACCTTAATAGGTATACATAACCATACCGTGAATAATCATCAGTAAAAGTTAAGAAGTAGTGGTAGTTCCCCTTGGCACTAACATTTAGTGGTCCACAAACATCTGTATGGATCAAATCCAACAGACTTTTAGTTCGCTCCACTTGTCCAACAAATGGTGATTTTGTCATTTTACCTTTAAGATATGATTCACATGTAGGCAACATTTCCTCTCCCCTAAGGTCGAGTTTTAATCCCAATTTGTGAATCCTCTTTTCAGATATATGACCTAATCTAGCATGCCAAATTGTGAATGAACTATGACTATCTAATTTCCTTTTATTTTGTTGAATGGTCAGGATGGGACTTTCTGGTGTAATGGTATATAAACCATTTGTCAAATTTCCGGAATATATAAAAGTTGTATCTTTGAATATGGAACATCTTCCATTCTCAATTACAAACTTAAAACCTTCTCTATCCATTACTGGAATAGAAATAATGTTTCTTATAACATCCGGAACATACAAACAATTTGTTAGACAAATTTTTATACCATTATTAAAAGCTATATAAACAGTCCCAATTGCTTTGGCGACAACTCTTGCCCCATTGCCCATCCTTAGGATTGTTTCATCATTTTCTAGCTTTTTACTTCTTGCCATAATTTGCAAATCATTGCAAATATGTGAGCCACAACCGGTATCCAATACCCAAGAAGAATCGTTAACCGATAAGTTAACTTCAACAAAATAAATACCTGAACTTTTCAGGCTTGCAAGATACTTCTTGCAGTTCCTCTTCCAATGCCTAGTTTTACCACAATGATAACATTTATTGGGTTCAGTTAATTTGTTTTGTTCCATGATACTTGCAATTGGATTTTTAGCTATTTTAGTAGAGTGATCTACAAAAATAACAAACGAAGCAGAAAATAATTAGACTATAGAATTCATATTCATTTAACATTAGGTCTTTAATATTAAATGTCTCCCACTATTTTAATTAAAACCAATTTTTAATTATGAAAATCAAATTTTCTTAGTGGGCTTGAAGTCCAATAAAAATATTTCATGTCCCAATTTTATGAGTACGCATGAAACAATTTTATCGGTAGTCAACTTTTGACAATTGTATCTATACAACCTTCAAGATATTTTGCCTCACTTTTTCTTATATACCTCAATTTTATGACCGTATATATTACTAGGTGTCAAATCAAACCCATCAAAACATTCATGATAAAGGCCCACCAGAGTGTTCCACGACTCATGGCCAACACAAAGAGGAATCCGTCTCACGAGTATCTCTATACTTAGTAGGGATCACAGCTTTCGACATAGAATCATCCCACGACTCGCGGCCAATGATAAAACATCGTAGCATCTCATGTCGTCTACTTTTGATGGAAGGCCTGGATTAATAAGTCCCAGCTTATTTTTATCCATTATTGATATGATATAGAATTAATCTAATTAATTCTTTTGGGTTCCTTAGATCTCATCGATTACCATCTTTACGTGTGTTTATTTACCGTATTATTCATCACATGAATCACAAACGCATAAATAAACCTAACATACATCTAATGCATGCATACGGTGGGATGATCATGACCTTGCCTATACGACCCATTCGAGCCAAAATGGGTTTATGCCTATGTACGTGATAAAACAAACAAATAGAACTACTTCTATTACATTTTATTTTATCTACCCGTACAAGCACAGGCCTTCAAAATTTACAACTTGTAAAATTACCCACACAAGCGTGGGCCTTTTGCATCGAACGGTCTCCACCTAGATCTAATCTTTAACAATACAAAATTTAAAATTTTACAAATCATAACACAAGAGACTCGCAGGTCTCAACAAATTACATTCATTCAATCGTATTGAAAAATGCAACCATTCAATCACATTGAATAAAAAACAAACATTCAATCATATTGAAAAGGCTCATGATCATCCCTTAATATACTAAAACATTCATCACATTAATTATAGCATAAAAATAATTTTGTTTTAGTCACACGACTGGTCACACGACTCGTGTCATGCCACACGACTCGTGTCATGCCACACGACTCGTGTCAAAATATCACACGACTCGTGTGAAAAACCCGAGAGCAATATCAAACTTTTTGATAAGCCACACGACTCGTGTGACAACTCACACGACTCGTGTGATCAAATCACACGATTCGTGTGAAATTGCCGAAAGCAATATCAAACATTTTGATAAGCCACACGACTCGTGTGACAACTCACACGACTCGTGTGGACCTGCTTTAAAGCAAAATCAAACATTTTGATGAACCACACGACCCGTGTGGCTCCTCACACGACTCGTGTGGAGAAAAATCAAATTTTATTTTAATAATTAATATGTTTATCTCATAAACATTTAATTATTATGTTTATCTTATAAACATTTACAAATCAAAATCTGTTTTAAAGATGATAACCGTGGCTCTGATACCACTGTTGGGTTCGCCTGTACCGTACGAGCTATACGCAGCGGAATTTAAAATTTTTCAAAACAAGTACTTAACATTTAAATACTTTACTCGTACATACATATGGCGAATTAACAGATCTTCATCTTTAATAACATGTAATAATACATATTTTGATTTGTTGTGACTATATTCTAAATTTACCTTAGTCTTGAACTCCTTCAAAATTGTCGATGAATGAGGGAATCGATTCCCGGTTTGTAACAACAACACCTTTTGGTTACTCGCTCAGGAATCCAAGTGTCTTCCCTCTAAACGTATCCACCTTTTGAAGTCCGGTTCCGAACTAGTTCCTTCGCTAATAGAAACTAATCGGTTTTATTCAATTAGTTTAGAATATATATTTTTAAGGAAATTTTACAAGAACTTTTCTTGTTTTGTAATATGAAGAACACTTCTTCTTTTCTCTCTTTTTCAACTCTTGAAAACTTTGCAAGACTTAGCTTAAAATTGAACATCAAGTATGTCCATATTTATACTAAACATTTTGGTATAAAATAATAATATTGGGTAGAATATTTTCATAAAATATGAAAAGTCTTCAAGAATATTTTCATAAAATATTAAGTCTTGAACAAGACTATTCCCCACCCAATATTCAATTAATAAGAATAAGATTAATTATGTTAAGTAGTTAGCATCTCATAACCACCATAATTAATTTATTCTTATTAATATTTAATCTTTAATCATATTAAGGATATATATAATAAAATAATAATTCTTGAAAGCATCTTTCAAGACTTTATTATTTTAATCTTTTATTCCATTTCCTCATTTAATAATCATATTATTATTTGGATTTGAAATTTAAAATCTAATTTTAAATTCCAAATATTAATTAGTAATTCCATTAATTACTAAATTAATATCCAAAATTCAATTAATCAATCCAATTGATAAATTTAATATATTCCTTTAATTGACATCTATTCAAATTAGATTTGTCAATTAATTCTAACTCTTTAGAATTACTATTTGAATTTCACCTTCATTCAAAAATTGGTGTGACCTTTTAGGTTCACAATTAATACTAGTAGTGGGTTTACAACTCTTTGTAATTTGAGTTAATCTTATTAACTCTTATTCATGAATTAACTCCTTAATTCAAGAACCCACATATCATGGGAACATCTAGCAAGTAGCATGAATCTAGTATTAAGTGAATAGCGAGTAAACCTATTTCAATTACAAGTCCATACATGTAAAATCCTTTCGACATCTAATTTCCCGATTAAATCTTGGGTATGATTTTAGTCGAAACCCAAATTGATTTAATAACTATGATTCTATTTCATGTTTAGTAATTCATGTGTGAATCTCTATTCATCCCGCCTTGGCCAAGGACTTTGAATTACTAACTATGAAATACATAGGAAATTCTCGTATCTTCATACGTGTTGTCGAATCCTTTGTTGGCCACTAACAAACTTCCATACATATTAACATAATACCCAAAATATCCCTTTATACGATTGTGCTAGCAACCAAAAGGATAAATCAAAGTAAAACGTAATATGCACAAAGTTACCATTGTGCCTCAAGTTTAAGGATTAGTCATGTACTATTGTAACATGAAAATTCTTATTCGACAGAATAATTATTTAAAATAATTCTTCATTAAGAATTTTCATACGGTCATGTTCAGTGAACTTGTTCTCTAACAAGCACCCACATATATGTACTTACGTCCCACGCTAATGTTGATGGAATGCAACATTCTTGTCAAACAAGCATACATACTATGTACAAGTCTTTTATGGATTATTCGATATCCCTTTTCGAAACATCCATCGACTTGGAACTTTATTTAAGACTACAGCTTTCAAGGTATGTTCCATGATCACCATCTCTATGCGCAACCATACCTTATAGCTATATGTGATCTAGGGATTTTATCTTAAGTGCAAATATAGGATAAATGCTTACTCTTAAGATAAAGTAATGCCTTTTAATTAATATAATTCCAATAGATTGTATTTACAAGTAGAATACGTCCAATCTGATTGGAACGCCGGGTACCCTACTCTAACAATAGTATCATCTAGACAAATCGGATTCTCATTATTCGCACCGGGGTTAGCTTGGACGTTCACTTCGGCTGCCCCGCGTATGTTCCACAGCTGCACACAATGATTGTACCATTTGAAGCCATTGCAACAAAAAAACACTTCCATATTGGACTCCTGCAGGTTATGTTCAATTTTGTTTTGGTTAAATTTTTTTGCTGATAACTACTTTGTCCACTGAGGAAAAAAAATTACAAAAATAAAAAGGTAATAAATTATAATTACCTCTCCGACGACATTCCTCTCTGTTGACGCTAACCAAACCGCCATCCTCATGCACTCGAACTCCCGGTATGGTCAAGAAGCGAAGGAATTCACGGTAATGCCCTTGAAGACAATAGATTTTCTCCCGCACCTTCATCCACGTGAACTTCTTTTGCATAAGGTCCGATAACTGACGGGATATTTCGAACCACAGGGAACTGAGGACGGGAGCCTTGTCGATGTCATCTGTTTCAGCACACAGCTGAAAAAAGAGGCGATAGCAAACCTTCTCCTCGAGCTCGGTCCATCCCTCCAACTGGAAGCCGCGCGCAATGTTCTCCAGGCTCGTCATCCGATCCATGAGACTGATGCAAGGACCTGTTAGGTTGAATCCAGATAGTTAAAATAACGTATTACTGCAAAAAATTGTATAGTACATGACGTTTAAAAACGAAAAAAATCTGTTATGAACCAAATACTACCTTTCTGCGTTTGTGAAGTTTCTTGTTGGTGGTGAAGTGCCATGTACAAAGCATGTAATTATATAGCGTATTGGGGTCATTGCAGGACTTCATTACACCATTTACTTCGGTAGGTACCAATCAACTCAATTTAAATGGAAGTCATCATTTGCCTTGTTAGCTGGAAAATTGTAATCTCATTTATTCCCTTCTTTTCTCGCGTTATCTATCAGAGTCATAGTTGATACTGCCCAGGAACTATCTGTCCTGTCTCCTCTGCGCCACCCCTGCGCCCAATGATCACCCATGACTTCTGTGGCACACTTCTGAGTTAAGGGATAAGGATTGTTACTGTGAAAATGAAGGGATAGACCATCAGCTGACTGTTGCATACACCCCTGAGCAAAATGGGGTAGCTGCCCTTAAGGTTAAGGGAGCCCATCCGTCGGTCACGGCTGCCTTCTACTTACAGAAGGACTCACTGACGGAAAGGATTCATACCCATTCTTTCTTTTTTTCTACCATTTATTTGGCTTAAGCGTGGGTGGGATGTCCCAGCCAGAAAGCAAACATTGGAGGCCGGGGCAGAAGCAGAAGGAAGGACTGGAAAGCAAAGCCTACTTTCGCCGCAGTAAATGTGTGTAGTTGGGTGATAATCCTTGATTTTCACTGTCTTAAAACATATCATATGAAAATCAGGTTAGTTGGTTTGCACATTTTTTCCCAAACTATTTCGGACATTAGTATACGTACTTCTGAATACATTTTATTCTTATTTAGGACTTTAAACTTTGTCAATATTTCGCAGACTTATAAACCCGGCTTGTACTTAGTGGCTGGAGTGATTAATTTTGTTGTACCCCGCCATACTAGCTTTTGAAAAATCAGAGTAAAATTTTCGCTTTTATTTTCGAAAGGTGGTGCGAGCTTGGTTTTCGAAAATACTAACTTGTTGCGGGATGTCACAGATAAAACTTACGTAACCTACTCACAGACATAAATAAAACATGCAACCAAGCTATCCGCTGTGGATAATGGAATTAAACATGCAATGTCTGAACTGTCTCGCACAGTCTAAAGTCTGCTAGCGGAAGCATCCGAAATACAGAAATACATAGAGTACATGCATACATATCTGAATGAATACATGATCATAAATATAAGGACACAAAATGTGCATAAAAATGTCCTTGCTGTCATGACCACGCTTCGCCACGCATAGCTCACCCGGCACGCTCGACTCCGTCTCCTGAAAAACACAATGGGGGCGTGAGCAAACCACTATGCTCCGCAAAGACCAGTACTGAATAAGACATCATGTATAATAACGTATCATGAACATAAATATATAAGAGCTGAACTGTAAACTTTTCTTTTCTTTCTGTACTGTGGTCAAAAGACCCTCGGCCTTGGCCGCTCGTGTGCACACCCCGATGGGATATTAAGGCCCTCGGCCTCCACCGGTACCAGGTAAAACTCCAAAGGCCCTTAGTTCGGTCTATCACCTGTAAAAACTAACTGTCTCGAACATACCTCTGCCATGGTACAGATATTATATATAATGTGGAATCCAGTACATGAACCCCACCTGATAACTGAACTGATGCAAGTGCTGACTGGAGTAGCGGTCGGAGGCTCGACTCTCCTTAGGCTACATAAACATTTAAGAAAAATAATGCTAAGTATAATGCTCGGAATATTTAATTATATGGTAAAGTGCTCGGAATTATCTACGCGATTAAACTGGACTGGACTGGATCGGAAAAATACTAAATTCTGAAAAGACTCGGACCGGAAGTCACGAATCCAAAACAGACTCGAACCGCCGATCGAACCGGCCGGTTCGCTGACTGGCCGGACCGCCGGCTCGGCTGGACCGGGCGGTCGGGCGCTGGTTCGGCTGGACCGGCCTCGGCCCCGTGCCGGGCCAGCTGGTGCCCGGGCACGG